TAATATCCAAGCATAGTTACCATGATGTCAAAACTACAAAAAAATGCATTATACAGAAAACCTAACCTTGGAATTGTTAATTTAATGATAATAGTGCAATAAATTTGGAGTTTTATGTCTAACAATGCAATCAAAGTTGTGTAAGTTTATTAACGAATTTAATGCTCTCATAAACACAATTGAAAACCTTTAAGTACTATTATTTATTATTTTACATGGTGACAATTTGAAAATTTCTCACTTGGTGTTGTAAAATGTGCTATATTGCCAATGCAATTTTAGTTTAGTATATAGTATATATATAGAGTTGACCCCTAAAAATCATATGAACAAGCTAAATTTTGCTGAGAATATGTATCTACTTCAGCTAGAGCATTCGGCAAACTTTCTTACATTCTAAAAAATCAAACAATCCCTCTATACTTACGAAGCAAGGTATATAACTTCTGTATAATACCGGTGCTCACCTACGGAGCACAGACATGGACATTTACACAGGCCAATTTGGATAGGATAAGGAAGGCACAAAGAGTGATGGAGAGACAAATGTTGGGTGTATCACTTAGAGATAGAAAATGTAACCAGTGGATCAGAACCAGAACAAAGACAGTAGACGCGATAGAACAAGCAGCAAAACTGAAATGGAAATGGGCTGGACACAATGAACGTCTCCAAGACGGACGATGGAACAATGCCATCGGAAAGTGGCGTCCATACAATGCAAAGAGATCAAGAGGCAGACCACAGATGAGGTGGAAAGATGACATCAGGAAACAAGGAGGTCCCACATGGCAGAGAACAGCTCAAGTTAGATAAAGATGGAGAGAACTGGGATGACCTATATCCAACAATGGAAGGATAGAGAATAGGTTCAAAAAAAATGTATTTACTTTTCGATGGTAACTTTCCATACATATCTCTCTATCTATTCCTTCGATCTATTTATCTATCATATATTATCTTATATTTGATAATTTGTTCTGTTGGGCCAAATACCGATTCCAAAAGCTAGTTTGACTTTTCTAGCAACATCCAAAAAAGGTTACGCATGGTACACATATACATTGATATGCTTCAGAGCAGCTGAATCTAATAGAATAGCCATTAACCAGAATAAGCAACAAACATAATTCATATTTATTCCACTTCCAATTCATTTCTTCTATTTCTATACATATATACACATATTTCGATTTTATCTTCTAAGGTCACATATTTTCTCTACCGTTTGCTTTTCTTATTATAATAACCTGTTTTATAAAATGCATTGTGTTCACCTTTCTGTTTCCTGTTTTTCGTATAATATAAAAATGCATATATTAATAATTGAATAGTCATGAAGTCCATAATAATTGTTACAATATCGTTATATAATTTTTTGCCTGGAACCAGTTAATTATCATTTTAAATGGACGTGGTATGTAGTAAACAATGATAATTACTATTTACGAAACCAAATTAATCGGCGCCAGCAATACTGGCTGTGTGTTACGTGTTAAGTGGATATTTTTTTGTATTTTCATATTTTTAATTCGTTGCTATTTTTAACACACAAGCGCCTAGGGAAAAAACCCGCCGCGAGAAGGTTCGGCGGTAACGTATCTAACCCTGAACTGTGACGAGGCTGAAGGCTGCGGCATTTTGCTGTAAGCAGTATGCAAAAATACTTTCTCCCCGGATATAACATCATTGACAAGGAAGTCACGCGTTAGGGACGAATATTTTATTCAGAAAGCATTTGTGTTAAAGGATATTTTTATTTTATGCGATAAATTATTTTTGATTGCACCTAGATGAACAAATTGTTCATAAGTTAGCCTTCGGACTTAAAAAATTAGCTATAGATCGTAATAATAATGATTTGTAGATTTCAAGAGTATATCATCTTCAAGTTCTTTTATTCCTGATGGAATGTTTGCCGTTCTTACTGTCAGCTCTTTGATTCGCTATTGTGGTGAATCACACCACATTATTCTTTCTATAATTGCTTTCTTTACAATTTCCTTCCACTTATTTCGATCTGTGCAAAGGTCACTCCAGTTTCTCACTTTCAGAATTGTGGTATATCGCTTCATTATTTTCTCTATGTCTTCCCAGTGGTCTTTCAGTTTCTGCCTTTCATTTGGTGGCCTTCTTAATCTTCTTCTTACGGTCCCTTATCCTTAAGGACGTTGGCCATTACATTTGCCCATTTAATCTTATTTGTAGCAGCCCTGAATAGTTCTATGGAGGTCATGTTCGTCCATTGCCGTAGGTTTTTAAGCCAAGGGTTGCGTCTTCTTCCAGTTGATGTGACCAAAATATTGTGTTTTCCGTTCTTTTATTATAAGCATAAGCTCTCTTTCTTTATTCATCCTCCGCAAGACTTCCGCATTTGTCGTGTGGCTCATGTAGGATATTCTGAGCATTTTACGGTAACACCAGAGTTCAAATGCTTGGATTCTTTTTTGTTTTGCTTCTGTCATTGTCCAGGCTTCAACACCATAGAGCAAGGTGGAGAAAACATAGCACTTAAGTATTCTAGTTCTCAATGAGATGCCCAGCTGGCGGTTGCATAGAACTTTTTGCATTTTGTAAAACATTGTACGTGCCTTTTCCAGGCGTATTCTTATCTCTAGTGAGTGGTCCCAAGTTTCATCAAGATTACTTCCAAGGTACGTTGTTCTTGTTACTCTTTCCAGATCTGTTCCGTCGACATTGACCTTCACCCTTTTGTTTTGGTGCTTGCTGATGACCATCGTTTTTGTCGTCTCTTGTATTCAATTTCATTCCAAATTCTCTACACGCTGTCGTTACTCGGTCCATTAAGCGTTGCAGGGCTTCAGCATTATCTGCCAGTATGACAGTGTCATCAACATATCGCAGGTTATTTATACATTGCCCGTTTATAATTATACCATCCGTGGTGCCTTTCAAAGCTTTCTGAAATATCTTCTCAGAGTAAACATTGAAAAGCAAAGGTGATAGGACACATCCCTGTCTTACTCCCTTCTCGATATTGATTTTTCCAGATGTTTCGCTTTTTATTCTGATTTTAGCCTTTTGTTCTTGGTAGAGGTTTGAAATGATCCTTAAGTCGTTATCGTCGATATTACATGACCTTAAAATACTTATTAATTTATCATGTTTCACCTGGTCAAACGCCTTCTGAAAGTATATAAAACACAAGTATACATCAGAATCGACATCTCTACATCTTTCAACTAGCACACGTATTGAAAAAAGTGCTTCTCCTGTTCCGAACCCATTCTTAAAACCAAACTGAGTTTGACCAGTGTGTTCGTCTAGTTTATGGTATACTCTGTTGTTTATTACTCGTAGGAAAAGCTTCAACATATGATTCATCAGGCTAATAATCCTATGGTCTTCACGTTTCTTGGAGTTTCTCTTCTTTGGTAGTGGTATAAACACCGATGTCAGCCAATCATTTGGTATTTTGCCTGTTTCGTATATTTTGTTAAATATATCTTCCATTACTTCGATGTGTTCGTCTAGTAATATCTTTATTATTTCAATTGGGATATTATCTTCCCCAATAGCTTTTCCATTCTTTAACTGATTTGCCGCTTTGATAATTTCTTGCTTTGTGATATAAGGTCCAGTCGATGCCTCCTGCATGTAAATGTTCGTCCTCTCTCGGTCTTGAAACATCTCTTCCACGTATTCTCTCCATCTACCTATTTGATCTTCTATGTTCAGTAGCGGGTTCCCATGTTTATCTTCAATGAAAGACGTAGGAGTTTGTTTAAATATTCCAGCGGCTTCTTTTACTTTTTTATGTAGATTGAAACTATCATGTCTTTGTTCCAACTCTTCAATTTCTTGGCATCTTTCACTTAGCCAGGTTTCTTTGGCTTGTTGGATCTTTATTCTGATATTCTTGTGTATTTGCTTGTATGTTCTTTCATTTTTACCTCTGTATTTTCTTCTTTCGTCCATCATGTTTAGAATTTCTTCTGTCATCCATGGTTTGTTCTTTTTTCGTGTATCTTGTTTGAGGTAGTCTTCTGTTACTCTTGTAAGTGTTTTCTCAATATAGTGCCATTCTTCCTCGAGAGTTTGTGTCGATTGTACTGTTCTGTTACTCAAGTGTCTATGTATTTCTTCCCGTATTTTATTACTAGTGGATTCTTCTTTAAGCTTATCTAGGTTAATAGCTATTATTTGCTTATTTCTTTTTGTTCTTTTAAATTCTATCCTAATTATTGCAAGAAGAAGATTGTGGTCGGTGGGGATGTCAGCTCCGGGGTATGTCTTGCATGCTTTTACTGCGTTTTTGTATCTTTTGTTGACCATTATGTAATCGATTTGATTTCTTGTGATGCGTCCTTCTATTCCATCTGCTGGAGATTTCCACTTATAGAGACGTCTGGGTGGTAACTTGAAAAAGCTGTTCATTATACTGTACTGATTTTCTTTACAGAACTGAAGGAGTCTATCTCCCCTCTCATTTCTTATTCCGAGGCCAAACTCCCTCACTGTGTCATCTTCTCTTCCTTTTCCAATCTTGGCGTTAAAATCTCCTAATATTATGTTGGTTTCATGCTTCTTTGTCTGCAGTAGAGTTTTGTTTAGGTCTTCGTAGAATGGTTCTATTTCTTCTTCTGTGCTTCTTAATCAGTAGGTCGTTTTCCCATCTCTCTATGTGTCCTAGCCATATCAATCTTAATAAATCTAGCTATATTTTCTCCATTCATTATGTCTCTTATTTCATGGTTCATTATTCTTCTCATTTTTCCGTTTTTCATTCTTATGTGGACCATAATTCTTCTGAGAATCTTTCGTCTTGTTACCTTTTCTTCTAGAGACGAATTGGTAGTCCCCAATTGCTACGAATTATTTCGAAAAGCTTTTAAATATTCTTAATATCACAACATTTTACAAAATTATGAACCGAATTTACTGGGAGTATCAAAAATATATTAATCTTTGTTACAATAATAAAAACTCAATGCTTATTACTAAAATTGAATTAATTAGATGTTGTCTGGTTGTTTCAGGTGAGCCGTTGATTCAATGTCTCGGAGAAGACTTCAACAAAGTCCAGATCGGTCAGATCTGCACACCCATCGGCACGTTAAACCTTTCGGTTTCGTACCGTACCAAAATGACAATTTCACCGACACAAACCGGACGACAGAACTCGATAATGTTGAAAAGCGACCATTTCAACACCAAGTTGAGTCCGAAGAGTAGGAGAAATAACCAAAAGTGAGTATCTTAATATCATATAAGTATAGGTGTAGGGGAAAGAATGAGATCTTCTTCAGATGCAAATCCACTAATGGATGTCAGCGATCACATTTTCCATTAATTCTCTATTTCTTGCAATATGTATCAGAGATTGTATGTCGTTAATCCCTGTCCATTGCCTTATGTTTCGGAGCCAGGACAGTTTCTTGTGTCCCATTCCCCTCTTGCCTTCAATTTTACCCTCGATTATAAGTTGGAGGAACTGGTATTTTTCATTTCGCGTGATGTGACCTAGATACGCCGTTTTCCTTTTCTTGATGGTTTCGAAAAGTTGGCGTTCTTGGTTTATTCTTTTAAGGACATCTATATTTGTGATTTAAAAAAGAATGAAATAGCTACAAGAAATATTTGTAAAACTGTATTTTGACCTTCCTACATTTGGTAGATAAAAAATAAATATAAATCTCGAAGGACCATCGACCAATTGATCAAAATTGCCAAAAAATAAGCCTTGAGCTTCTAACCTCGTTTAAAACCCTAATGAATGGTTGAATAACACACAATTTCGATTTGTAATCTACCTCTTGACCTTTATCGACGGTCTCTTTGAAACCTAAACTATGTAAATGCAATATGTAACAATCAAATTCCTCGGCTTATTGTTATTGTTAAAATATTTTTTTTGTCACTTTAAACAAAAATTACAGTTTTACGACAATCACTCATGGATTATTCAGTTGCGTTAATGAATAAATGTACGATTTGATGATAAGTCAAAACCTGTATTGTCGATTTCCTTCCAAATCACTCAATTGCGGGTGAACCTCGAACAGTTTAGAATGAAGCAGACAGTGCAACTTGCTTATAGCATCATTGAAGGGTCCAGTAAAAAAAATAACGCTATGTCAGAGTGACGTTATAAAAGAGGTAGAAAAAAAATTGTATTACAGCATTATTTACTATGACAGCTGCATTTATGATAAAAAAAATTATGAAATACAACATAATATCATGTATTGTTCTGAATTCGTTCTGAATCGTTCTCAAAATACAAACAGTAAATTAAACAAATTTTGTTTTTTTGTTACATAGTGAAAAATTCTTCTAATAATTTAATTTTATCTGACTCATTTATATTGACAATTCAGACATACATTATGCATTTTAAAGTAGACGACTTTAAAATGATATTGCCAATATTGTTGAGTTGCGCTCCTGGACGACTTTACTTATAAAATAGTTCATTCGATTACATGAAATCAACTTTAACTTGAAAATATCCGCCAGAAAAAATCATAGCATGTAATTTGTCTTTAAAAAGACAAACACATGACATGATGACAGTAAAATTCTCCTGTTAGTGATTCCATAGTAAATTATGAGGGAAAAACCAGGAAAAAAACCTCATAATACTATCCCGACATTGTAAGTATTTGTTCGTGAATTTAGTTTACCTTCAACAAACATCAAAATTCTGATTTTATATGTTACGTTATTTAAAAAACATAAATGATGTATCCCCTATTATGTTACTGACTTACTAATACTGGTATTTTCTTATTAATAACTTCCTCTTTCAATATTGGTAACCAGATCCTACTACATTCTGCCGAGGAATTTGCGACACAATTGGCCTCATTTAGCATAATTAGAGCCGCTTCTTTGATTTTTCTTTTTTTTACCATCCGTTTCTTTTAGGACTACATTTGAATTATTCCATTGAACCCTATGTTCATTATCCCATGCGTGTTTACATATTTGAGATCTATCAAATTCTCTATTTTTAATATAAGATTGATGTTCACTTATTCTAACATTTAATGGCCTTGAGAATTCACCGATCAGTTTTATTTAGGTGAATCGGTTTCATGTAATCGAATGTCTTATATATATCTTATAAGTAAAGTCGTCCCAGGAGCGCAACTCAACAATATTGGCAATATCATTTTAAAGTCGTCTACGTTAAAATGCATAATGTATGTCTGAATTGTCAATATAAATGAGTCAGATAAAATTAAATTATTAGAAGAATTTTTCACTAAGTAACAAAAAACAAAATTTGTTTAATTTACTGTTTGTATTTTGAGAACGATTTCCGAAGTGGAAATTGAAACGTCAATAAACGTATTTTTATCTTTAATTGTGGCTTATTCCGAGTTAAATAGTAATTAATAATATCATATATATGAAACATTTTTTTATGAAAAAGTTGTCTAATGCTGAAAAAAGTCTCGTTATTTTCTTCTGCACAATCCTTTCCGAAAAATATAGTTTTTGTGCAGTGTCCTTAATAATCTGAGCTGCTGTTTTGGTAGTTGTGGATGCCTCCCTGAACTGGTAAAACCTGGATATGGTCTTCGTAGATCTCATTGCTTCTTGGAGTGTATTCCAATCAACACCGTCTTCTTCATTATATTCATCAACATCAATTTCCAAATTTTGCACTTGTTCCACAATTTTTTTATCACTTAAAACTTGAAATGTTTCTACCTGATCGGCTACTGAAATGTAGAAATCAAGATCAGTTCCAAACTCTCTCTGGTTTGCATTAAATTTTTGTATCCAATCTGACAAAGGTATTTCATCATCTTCGTCAAGATGAACATTGAATAACAACTGAACATTGTAAGAAACTACAGTCAATTATTAGCATGACCAAATGTCACTGACGTAACCGCACTCCACGCATTGTCTAAAACTCAACTGCATCAAGGATGGTAATTTTCACGGGTTCCAAGTTGTCCATACAAAAAATCATCCTTTTCAAAAGCTGTTTCCGATAATGGCACTTTAAACTTCTTATGACTCCTTGGTCCATAGTTTGCAAGACACTCGTGCAGTTGGCTGGTAAGAAAACTAGGTTATCAGAAGTTATAGTTACATGAAGAGTTGCAATACTAGAGTTGTAAAGAATGTATAGATTAAGGTTTTTGTAATAAATCAATGAAAACTCGAAAAACGATTTATTCAACAGAAAGTCATATTTTGTTATAGTAGTTTGTCTTATAAAAGTCTAGTTATCTAACCAATCATACGGGTCCATCTGTGCCATCACTATTTGATCGCCTGCGAAATGTAGTGTATATATCATTTTATTGTTGTTTAGTGGAATGCCCATTCCTTCATATTTTCTTTTTCATAGCTTCAATACCTGTTCAAGTTATATTTAAAGAGTGTTGGTGAGATGCAATAAACCTGGTTTAGGTTTTTGGTTACCTTTATGTTAATACGGCTCAATTCTAAGGCTTCCCAGAGTAGTTTAACGTATAGTAAATGTACCTGTTGATTACTAGCGATTTTCTTTTCTATTAGTTGCTTAACGTAAAATAAGTGGTCTATCGTCGATCTTCTTGCTCTAAAACCCGCTTACTTGTCTGCTTCCATAGCTTGGCACTCTTTTCTATTTTCTTTATACGAGGATAGATTTATATTAAAGTAGCCTTTAGATAGATGGCACTACGTGACACCAAATTTGTTTCGGAGTTGACATTTGCCATTCATGACATGACGTCTGTCAAAATTTTAAGTTTTAATGGTTTCTACAGCCGTCAAAAGCAAGCAAATTTTGTGTTTTCGGAGAAATAAAAAAAGTCGAGTATCGTACGGTGATTAAGTTCCTCCACAAAAAGGGTAAAACGAATGCGCAAATCAAAGCCGACCTGGACGAAGGTTATGGTGAGGTAGCACCTTCGTTAGTAACAGTAATATTTTGCAAAGCTGAATTTGTTCGTGGTCGAACGAGTTTTTTTGATGATGAGCGTCCCGGGAGGCCAAATGAAGTCACCACGCCGTAAATCATCAACAAAGCCCATGACATGATTATGGCAGATCGTCAAATCAAGCTCAGCGAGTTAATAGAGGTCCTAAACATTTCCTATGAAAGCGTACACAACATTATTCACCATCATTTGGACATGAAAAAGCTATCCGCGCGATGGGTGCCGCGTTTGCTGACGCTTTTGGTGATGATACGGCACGATCAGAAGGATTTTTTTTGTCGACTTATCACCGTTGATGAAACCTGAATGCATTATTACACACCGGAAACCAAAGAACAGTCGAAACAATGGCGCAAACACGGCGAAGGGCCGCCGAAGAAGGCAAAGAGTGCACATTCGGCCGGCAAAGTGATGGCGACTGTTTTCTGGGATGCGAAGGGCATCATCCATATCGACTACTTGGAAAAAGAAAAAACAATCAATGGTTAGTACTACACAGCATTATTAGATCGAATCGATGTCGAATTGCATCGAAAACGCCCCGGTTTTAAACGCAAAAAACTGCTCTTTCACCAAGAAAATGTTCACTCACCGATCGGCCGTCGCCATGGCAAAATTACACGAATCGGGCTATGAATTGGTTGAACACCCCCAGTATTCCCCAGATCTTGCCGCCAGCGATTTTTTCCTGTTTCCAAACCTAAAAAAATGGCTCGGAAGACGCCGTTTCGCAACAAATGATGAAGTCGTCGCTGAAACTTCGGCCTACTTTGAAGAGCTCTAGCAAAAGTACTATTCGGATGGGATAAAAAAATGTAACATCCTCTTACAAGTGTATCGAGTTAAAAGGGCACTATGTTGAGAAATAAATCGATTTAATTCCAAAAAACTTGTTTTTCCTATCAAAGGCTAGTTTTCTATCAATCCACCCTCCATTTGTCTGCATTATGCTTGTATGTATCTGTTTCATATACCCGACTCAATGAGCTTGTAACCGCTATCTCCCGGTAATTTTCACAGTTGTCTTTGCTCATTTTTGTATATATTGTTTAAATTGAAGATTCTTTCCACTTTCCACTCTACCGGCGTTTCAGCTATATTAATAGAGTTCTGAAATAATTGAGTCAGTAGCCGAACTAGGTCCTTACTTTTATGTAATTTTCTGATTGTGATGTCTCACAGGTGGATCCCATTCCTATTCGGTATTCCGGTTTTTTGTTTTGGCATAAATGAATTAATTTTTTTATTAGAGTTGTAGACATTTCTTTTGAAAAGACAATAAGTGTACTGTAAGAAGTG